GACACACGGCCAGTGCCGGTGCCTGTCCCTCAGCCATGGGCCGGGGTGCGGCGGCTCCTTCGGCCCAGCCCGGGCCCGGCAGATCCAGAAATGCCCAGGGCTGCTCGCCCGGCGGGATCGCTGCCCGATAAGTCAGCTCCGTCTGCCTCCCGAACCCTGCACTAAAATCCTCTTCATCATCCTCCCCAGGCAAATCTGCTCCTCCCGCACCTACCAGGGACGTTTGTCACCGTGACACGGCGCTCAGGTTGATATCCCAGCAGATCTCTGCTCCGAAAGCTTTACACTTTGTCAAGACTGTGATTAAAAATTCTGGTTTGTGCGTGAGGAAACTGAGGCACGGAGCCAGAGGGCAGCTCTGCCATCCCCGTGTCACCCCTTGCCATGGAACTGTCCTGCCCGTGCTGCCCGAGCCGTGCCAAAATGATGTAATTAATAATCATTGCCTGAGTTTCTGCACCGTCTTGCATCCAAGCATTCCAAAGCTCTTTACAAACACTCAGTAATTAAGACTCATAAATGGGAAATGAAATAAAAGGTGCACGGGGATCTTCCAGGGCTGGGATGGAGCTGTCTCCTGGGCGGGATGGTACCACTGATCAACACCCTGTAGCAATTGCATTTTCTCTTTTGATATTATTTTTGTTAACTGGTGCTCTTTGATACGGTTTTGTACACATGCCCAGAGGCTGGCTGAAGCATAATGAACTAATTCTATATGGTTTCTGAATAATGAATGGAATTATTTAATTGGCACATAACCTCAGAGACTGCTAATAGACTAAAACATTCTGAAGATGAGCAAATTGGAAAGAATGGGATGACTCAGAGAACACTAAATTAATAGTCTGCCAAAAATGTTGCACCCAATCCTCTTGGGTTTCAGGATATATACATGGGGGTTGAACAAGGGTGCAGTGATTTACACAAGAGTTTGACATGAATTTCCTTCCCTGGATCGAAATTTTCTCTCTTTAAGGAATTCAGAAGGGCTGAAGCTCCAATCCAGAGCTGCTCACTCAGCCTTGGACCTGGATCTGAACTGGAAGTGTGAGTGACAGCAGGTGCTGGAGTCTTTAACAGAACGTGACAGTTTAATTATCTGAGCAATCAGTTAAATATCACTTCAGGACATGGGTTGGCCAACGTCAGAGAAGCTGAAGGACTCCTCCCTAAATGAAAATATTCAAATAAAAAAAAACAAAACAAAACAAAAAAAACCCACAAAACTGTCTCACTGCTTGATTTTTTTCCCCCTCTCCACAGCTACAAAAAGAAGTAAACTTTAGTATTTGAAAAGATCTGAATGGAATGATCATGTTTGGACAGATATAATAAAGCAGAACAAGACTTTGTTGCCTTGGATAATTAATCACGGGGCACTGCTCTGCTCAGTTACAGCACAAACCCACAAATGTAACACGTTAGAGGCCATTCCCATTTCTCCCATCTTTGGCATACTCCATTTATTCCCATGATGTTGGGATTCTCTCTCATATATAAAATTCTCACTACTTTGGGAATACAAATACCAAAAATTATATGAGTAAGGACTTTAACAGCTGAGATCTTGCTCTGGAATAAATAATAATATCCTAAACACATCAGGAGACAAAGATGTCTTTGCACAGAAACTCACGGCACCTTCAATTAGAGACTTGTGTTTTACTCCTATTTTTTTTTCTTAATGGGAAAACAAGTGTCTGCATGCCCACACAAAATTCCTGGCAAGCCTGGCTGTGGCTGACCTCAGTCCATGAACCTCATGGGAACGGGAGCGTTGGTACCTGTGCTGAGCATTTCAAAGAAGGGAATTCTCCCACGTCCCAGCCTGGCGAAAATTAACTGCTTTTATTAAAACACTGCAATTCCTCCCTGTTCCCTTCCACGGGGCACATTCCCAGGGAGGGAGCCTTGTTCAAGCAAGGGGTGAAGAGTCTCTGCCTGACTCCCAGTGGGTGAGTTAAAACTCGAGGTTTGAAGTGTAAAATGGGGGCAAAAAGGTACAAGAAAAGGTTCAGTCCCAGCGGGAAGAGCCGTGTTGGTGACCTGCTGCTGCAGATGTGCTGGGCAGAGCTCCGGGAGCAGCACTGAGCAGCAGAAAGCAGAAAATTCCCCTCTCCAGGTCCTGAGCTCTTCCCAGCTCCTGCAGGAGC